AATGTACCTGTACATTTATTTCGAGAATATAACCAACATCTTTCGTGTGATCTTGCAGCAAAGAGAATTTTTTGATACCTGTATGGTTCATGCACAGTGTGGTGGCCAGCCTGAGGAATTCTTGCCATTGACACACACACACTAATTAGTAATATTGCCAATGTACCCACAGTATACATGTAAGGACCTTGATTGGCATGTTGTTCCTTTGCAATTAAATGCTGGTTCATATGTACAAAACATGAACACCTGTACAGTGTATGAATTTACTTGGTGTCAAAGGCCAGATGTCAGAAAAAGTTTAACACATTTTAACTTAATTGAAATTTGCATAAAACGGTTTTGGTCAAAATTTTTTGGCTGTAGCATTCACCACTCTCTAAGACTTAAATTTCCTGCCTAAATATCAAAACACTGTAAATTTTGTTTGCTGAAAGTGTGTGGTGTATACTACACACAAAATTCAGGAGCCCAAAGGACTACTGGTATTCTGTTTGTATAGCAAACTGCTTGATAAGTGGTGTTACTTGCCACAGAGTTGTTCAACTCTACATGTACAATGCATTTGCTATTTGTTGGCAGTGGTGACCGATAGTTGAACTTGAAACCCTGCTGATTGACCAGTTAACAATATTTACATGTAGTCCAGTTCTCTTTGGTCAGTTCACCATCTTGCGCCAGCCACTCTTTTTACCAGGAGTGCGACTGGACCGGTACATGTATGAGGATCCATGCAGTGATAGGAATATTGCTGCATGGCGAGGCAGTGAACTAAAAAAAAAACCACCCAAAAACCTAAACCAAACAAAAAGCCATGTTTGACACTTTCATCCCAATGTACATGTACATGTCCAGCAGCATGATCGCTGAAAACAGTTCGTCTACATTTACGGTACTTCTGGGCAGCCACTGGCTAGCCAGCGACACTACTGTACACTTAATTGGACTCACAGGTATCTGAATCATGTGTATACAGTTCCTTGTGTACTGTGGATGATTAAAATCTTTAGGTAGACAAATGCAAGTAGATAAGATTTCACGGGGAACTAGTACTGTACATTGTACATGTACATGTAAATTGTGTGGCATGCCACCGATAGTCTGCGTGGTGTATATGTACATGTGTGAACCAGTTGCTTGTGAATAAAAAAAAAATACATGTACATGTAACACGCATTGAAAATACATGTACGTGTACAGTTGTTCATGTGTATATGATAAATCAGCTTGCGTGGTAGCTAGGTAACATGAGCATACATATTCAGTAAATGTGTATGTACATGTACCGTGTACATCTGCACCAGGAGTCAGAACTTTTTTTGTCCAATAGGGTGCTCATTTCAACTTGCATGTACATGTACAGTACATGTACAGTACATGTACATGTAAATTGTAGGATCTCCTGTGATGTAATGTACAGTGGTATATGTACATGTTCATACCGGTAGTGCGGCCTAAGAAGTTCTAATTGTGTAAAATGTACTGTACATTATCAGATATCCGGTACAAGAAATGTATACAATGTAAGCTCTTGGCCTGAAAGGGTCCTTGGAATAATTTTTTTATGCTGTATTTTTTAAAATTAACTTTATGTGTATTTTCAATTGTAATTTTGCTATTTCGTGCCTTTTCGGTTTTCACGCTAGTACAGATCCATGTATATGGATACATACACTGTACATGTATACCCGATGTTCATGTATGGAAAATTGGGATGCCATTCCTTGGAGAAAACCTGCTTGGAAGACTACTGGAAGTTTGCTTATTTTTCCGAAAGAAAATGTCCTTTTCTTTGGAGAGTCATTTTTGCAGAAGTACATGTACATACGAGTATCTATGGCAGTAACCCGAAGAGCAACCCTGTCCCAAAATGTGCAAATTGTGTCAGTGTGCAAATTTTTGGTTCACAATTTGAAAGAAAATGGTGTCTTCTCTGAATGACACCATAGCAACAACAACTTTTTTTCACTTCAATAAACATTTATTTAGAACTCTCCAATTCTAAGAGGTACATGTACATGTATAAATACAACCATAAACAAATCTACGAGTAGGTAACAAGAGCAAATAATATCAATAACAAAGAGTAATACTTGAAAGCCAAATGAGGCAAGATAAATTGTTACTACATGTAATTGAATATGTTGGAGGAGAATTACTGGTGCAGGGCTGTTAACGTAAGCCAAAGGCTCATAACTGAAACAACCTGGACACACCACACTAACTACACGTTCAATAAGGATTTACAAATTCCATAAAGCTACATGTTCATGTGTATATGAAAGCTACAGTAGAACGTTGGCTCATGTACATGTACATGTACAAAGTGAGGACTGCTGGTGCATCCGTGTTTGTGCATAAACCTACAGAAATCTAGAATTTTTGTATGGCTTATGTATACACTGTATCTGCATCTGTGTTCTAAAACAATATGTCAGCAAAGCCGATAATCAACCTGAACACGCAATCAGTAAATGAGCATTTCATTTCGCTCTGCATCAAAAAACACAAACAAGTGCACATATTGCTGCAACGTTTTTAATCAGGTTTTATTGGTACCCGAATTGCACAAAATCCCAGAGCTGTCAACTCACTTAACACTGACTGAATGAAGGGAACGACTTTTCAATTCAGCTGAACTTATTCAGGGAAAGACAGCCATCCAAAGACATGCATAGGAAATCAGATGACCTTGCTCGAATGGTAGAGAAACGTTTGTTTTAAACTTATCAGCTATGGATGTAAATAAACATGTGCCATTTGTGTGCGCCTTATTCAGAAGACGTGCTGACATTCGCGTACATGTTGTAGGCTACTTGAGTGTTTCATTTAGAGTACATAATTCGAAATCCATTCTGTCTGATTTTGAATGTTCTGCAGTGTACAAGCATGCACATGGATTAAAAATGTCGGAGCCCAGGACGGCGTCAAATTTTCTCCGCGAAGAGAATAAGAAGTTAGCACTCTAGTTTTTATATATACATGTGTGTACATGTATATCTTCATAACAGATATAGATGCACACAAAACAAACTGTATTTTGAGGAAAAGTAGGGACATTTGAAATGTTGAAGAAGTGTATGTGTAAATGTACATAATGAGAGATTATTTACATGTACATGGTACCGGTTCCATTGGTACACGAACATGCACCATTGATATGTACATACGTGTACATGGTACCGGTTCCATTGGTACACGAACATGCACCATTGATATGTACATATATTGATATACGTTGTACACACCGGTACATGCACAGTACAGTACGGTACATGTACCTCAATATGTTCATATATGAACAGTCTTGAATTTCAAACAACCAGTCTTCCTTTTCTGTTATTTAGCAGACTTCTTAAAAGTGGAATGTACATGTACATGTACAGCATTACATTTATGTTGCAGGATTTGTTGCTGTGTAGCCAAAACCACTGCATCACTTGCATTTCAACCAAACTCACCTTTTCCATACATCTTTAGCCTACGGTACCAGTAACATGTAGCCCATTATTGGAGTGTTTTCTCATTCTGTGTTTATTTTGTGTGTGAAGCATTGTGATACCACTTGGTGTAAGAACCCTTTTTAAATGCCTGAATTATTAGTCCTGTATTATCATTTAATGGCAGCTCAAAATACGGATATATATGTCTGTGGTATACTGGTACATGTACAATAAGAGTGCAGTTTTCATTTGATCAGTTTGTTACAATTTTGATTGGGATTTAATGTAAAGTGATTTATGTTGCTCATGTTGTGGTCCATGTATATGGATATACACGCACATGTTCATGTACCGCGGTACTTACTGATATGCATGTACATGTATTGTGTATATGTACAGTATTATGCATGTACTGTATCATACAATGTACATGGTGAGTAATCCATTATCTATTCATGATTTTGTTTTTTAATTTGTGCTATGCATTCCCCCCTAGTAGCTAACAACAAATAATGCCGTAGTAATTTCAGGCTGGCATGAAACGACCACCTTGCAGCGCTGATCAATCAGGCCTGTCTTTTTTTCCCCCTGACAACAGCAGGACTTGTTCCCACCGTGTAGTATAGCCCAGCTTGTTTGCAGGAGTTTGGCAGCAGGCTGGTCCACAATGTTTCATATTGTAGGTGTATTTGCTGGACTTTACCTTATTGCTGTTGGAATGCCATGCGTTGTCAGTCTTGTTTTCCCTGGTGAATTTTCACTCCTGTCATGGTTAAGCCCTTGTCCAAGCCACCCGTACTTCCACATGGTTCTCCATTGACAATATTGATTTCCAAAGCGACACATGTAGTTAATAGAAAATCATCTGAATGAAATTAAACAGTCAAAAGGTTTTAATACTCTGCACGTGCTGCGATAGATTCAACAGAGGTTTGAAATTGATAGTTATTATTTTTTGGTATTAAAATGCACATCTTTAAAGATACATATGCATGTAGCCCATGTACCGGTAATGTTACATTCACTGAAAATGCGAACTCACAAAATGAAACAAGGCAGTGGAATGATATAAAAAGTAAATAATGAAACCCTAAAGAGCCAATTTTGAAAAAATGCTACATGTACAAATAAAGACGAACACAAATTGTGAAAGGAATTCACTGTCACACTCACATTTCACAAGGCATGAAAATGTTTTCTCACTTGTATAAAAAAGTTTGAAAATGTTTTCCCACTTACGTGTACATGCAAGGTGAAAATTCATGAAAATCCTTTTGCCACTGTGAGCTTTTCCCAGGACTTTTGGAATTTTTTTTTCAGGTTTTGTGAAATAATGATAAATTTCCTTGGAAGTGGAAAAGTGTTGAAGGACTTTACCATGCTAGTTTCAATTGGAATGGACTATTACAATGTTGTACATGTAGGAGATCTGTTAGGTTAATGGATAGGTTTTCCACATTCTTTGCGTTGCCGTTATTTGTGTACATGTACATGTAAGTTTTTGTCCATGAAATTGTGTTTTAATCCAACCCCATTGATTGTTTCTTCCTATCCCAGATGTGACATCAACATCTCATGGCCTGGCAACAACCCAAGGCCCAGCCGGAGACAAACTTGCGGGCAGTGACCTAGTCACTACCATGGTAACGTCTGCCTCCCCGCTTAGTATCAGCACCATGGCGACCACGGTGCACACTCCCCCAAGCCCTGCCCCAAGCCCCTCCCCTCCAGCTGTGGCAAACACGGCTGCTCACCCTGATGAAAGTATTATTCCAGTTACAAGGTGAGATTTTCAAACAAGCCCAAATTATAGCAAATAGGTACTTCAACATCCAACAGCTGAATATGGGCTTGATTCTGATGGGTTTTAATTCTTCAGGTCACAAACACCACTAACCCCAACCTTGAAATGCAACAAAATTCATTTCAAGTATTGAGAACATTTTTATTACATGTAGCTGTCAATAGATGGCCTACAAGACCATGTTTAGTACAAAATCTACCATAAGTACATGTACATGTACACGTAACACTTGGTTGCATTTTGTTGCAATCATCAAAAATTTAGAGAATATTGGAAGATTGAGGTTGAATGGTCGATAATGGCTGATTGTGAAGGGTGCATCACAGGTGTGTCAAGGTCTTGGGTTAGAGCTTGTCTTGTTTATACTTAATGGAAGAAATAATCCCCACTGCTTCAGGGTACTAGTTGCACTGCCACAACGTGACGACGGGAATAGCTGGAGGATTGTTGAAGGATTGAGGCAGAGGTTACCCCTCCAGTGTGCTGTACACATTAAGGAATTGAATGGAAACTTTTGGAGGATTTAAAGGCTTTTTACCGTAACTGCAAAGAGTTGATGGATTTGGATGGACTAAGGAGGCAGTCTATTAAAACCCTTAGCCTTGGAGTATTTCAGCAGTGTTGGATTTGATTGCATTCAGCATGGTCCCTCTAGTAAACCCATCAGGGGTAAAGGTCAACATTTTGCATATGTACTCCTCAGTTCTACTTGCACAATGCCAGATTTTCTTGAAACTCGCTATTCAGGTATACAAAGAAGCATTCATACATGTACTTTTAAGACTTGAAGAACTTCAGAGTTTCAGCCAGACTTGACAGCTTCTTTGTGAAATGTTGTAGCCACTAGGAAGGCATGCTAACATCCCAAAATGAGCACCTTAAGGTGCCTTTTCATATGGACATCAACACTTGCACCAACGCTTGCGTTTCATTTTCACAGACACAGAAGTGAACTCCATTAACATAACACATGTCACTACTGGAGCAATTTTGATGGCCAAACGTAATGCACATGTGTGTTGCATGTGTTAATGGAATTGATTTCTGTGTCCGTGAAAGTGAAACACATGAATGCATTGCACCAACGTACCATAAAAACATACGTATTAAAAAGGCGCCTTTAGTCTGCATGCAATCAACAACAAATTGAATGATTATTTGTAATGTTAATAAGCTCTTCTAATCATCAATTGTGGAAACCGGGAACTGTTTAGATGTATATACCCACATACGGTACATATTTGTTTTCATAGAATGCTAGAGTAAGTAGTCAGAGATCTGTGAGCGAGGGCTTCTGAACAATAAAAGAAAGGAAGAAAGTTTACTTGTGACTCTTTTGAATTTTTTGCCTTCTAGAAATGAGAAGAAGTTAACCAAAGAGGCAATGAGACAGTACTTACGAGACAGATGCCATCAAACGGTGGTCATTCAGCACGCTAAGGTGGCGCAGAAATCATACGGAACAGAAAAAAGGTTGGTACATGTACATGTATGCATTAATATATATTGGTGGTTAGCTCAATTGGCTTTGCACCATGGCCTGGCTACATTACCTTTACCTGTTCTGGTGACAACAGTAACCATTTCCCGCCGGGCTACCCGTTTTCGAGTACATAGGCTTTATATGCAGAGCCGGGGAGCCCGGAACTGGGACAAAAGAGCTGGGCCTTATAACAAAAGACTGTGCTCAGCACAAAAGACTGAGCTGCTGAGCATTACCGACATTTTTTCGCTCTAAATAGTGGAGATAATCCAGCCTTGTTTTGAAACAGTATACTGCTGTTGGAGGCATTTAGAGCGAGGGATTACCACCGGGGAAAACCTCTCCACCACTGCAGCGATGACCCACACAGCACCGCTGTATGCTTATCTGGCTCCTATTGAAAAGAGGTCAGCAGTGCACTGTGCCAGTTTCGGGAACAAAAGAATCTTATATAACACCGCACAATCTGGGCTCTTTTTCAAAGGCTGCAGGCCTGGCTGAAATATTCAAGAGTCAATGAAGGTTACCTGTCAGCTTTAGAATAGTACCCAGAGAGTCCTTCATGTGGTTGTAAACGGCCATTAAATGAAATGATGAATTTTTGAAGAATTTTGCAAACGGAAAATCTTGAAAAGGACCTGGCATCTTGTCTTGCTCAAGAAAAATCCACCCAGCAGCAAGTGGTTAAGAAGCCATCCGGCGACTGTGACTTGCAAAACTACATTGGCTCCTCTCATTCATCTGATTTTTGTCTGAATGCGCAGAAGCCACATGCTCTTTCTCTAGGAATCATTCCAAGGTACAGTGGGAACTAAGCTAAAGTGCTATGGCTGTGCTGACGGCCTCATGAAGGGGTTTGGAGTATCAGTACATAATTTACAAGAAATCTTTCAATACTTGCAAAAGATTCTCCAAGTCTTTTATGCAAATACTTTGATATTTTCTGTATGTCTGAACCCTTACACACTAAGACCTAGCAATTATTCCTCATTGTGTGATTTCCTGTCTTAATTTCTGTCAATACCACGTTCTGTGTCTGTCCACTAGTTGGACCTGGAAAAAGGTCCAACTGCAACACCAGTTAGGGGAATGAAGTCTCTACATAGTACAGTATCGGTACTTTGAAGACTTAATGCTGCAACATGCCATACCTCCTCCCTGCCAGGTTTTTCTGCCCGCCTCCTTGCATCTACCTCCTGGATCCTGGCTGGAGACGTAAGAGAGAACAGATGCAGCAAGATGGAGAGACAGAAGCTGGTTCCCAGGTCTGTGCCTTCATGGGAATTGGGAACAGTGACCAAGATATGCAGCAGCTTAACCTGGAAGGAAAGGTACAGTTGCAGGCCTCGTGTTTGTGTTGGCTGGGCCATACCTCTCAAGTACTTGGTACTTCTTCTATTAATGGACTGCGTGTGGGGTGAGAGAGGGCGCTGTGTTTCCTAGCAGCTAAGTCCCATCGGTCCAACACACTGTACAAGTGTTACACATTTTTATTACCCACAGAGGACAGGAGACACAGGGAGTAAACTGTTTCCCTGTCCTCACTGATCAGTCTGATGTCCTCAGTGATGAGGGCCAGTGCTAAGTCTATGGGAGAGCACCTCATCCCAATGGTGTTGAGAAGTGTCACCTGTAGACATACATAAGTGCACAGACCACTAGTCTTGCTTGTTACACAACGATTGTAAAATCATTGGCAAAATGACAGATTACAACACATGCAACAGCATCCAGTGCCCCTAGTGCATGGCATTTGTACATTGCCTCATATGTTCTCAAAATGTGTTCACTTTTTTGCTTGTGAGGCGTGCCACCCCTTTGTTACAAATGTTTCAACTGAACTGATACAAGCCAAATTAAGTATATAGAGATGTTTTGTGCTGTCAAATTTGCAGGGACTTCACATTCACCTGAATCAGAAACCACTCTAAGAAAAACTGTTGGCTACCTGTACAAAGTGATGCACAGCATTTATTAACAAAAGAAAGGTCTGTTGTGTCTATGCACCAGGGACAGTAGATAACACTGTTTAGTCTATTCATGAATCACTGGTATGGAAGGACACATTTTATCACTGCATGCAGTGGTTTATGTGGGTACCAGGCAGGACACAGAAGGTTAAGTTACTAATTATGTGGGTACCAGGCAGGACACAGAAGGCTAAGTTACTAATTATGTGGGTACCAGGCAGGACACAGAAGGCGAAGTTACTAATTATGTGGGTACCAGGCAGGACACACAAGGCTAAGTTACTAATTATGTGGGTACCAGGCAGGGACACAGAAGGCTAAGTTACTAATTATGTGGGTACCAGGCAGGAAACAGAAGGCTAAGTTACTAATTATGTGGGTACCAGGCAGGATACAGAAGGCTAAGTTACTAATTATGTGGGTACCAGGCAGGGCACAAAAGGCTAAATTACTAATTTTGACCCATTCTGTGAAAATGAGTCACAAGTTGCCAGAGCCACTTTGGAGTAAAAAGCCCTCAGAATAATTTTGCACAATGTAAATCAATAGGAACCCACAGCATTTTTCACTTTCATCAGGATGCCAAACTGAGTGATACATCAAAACGAAAAACTCAATTTGCTCTTTTCAATACGAATGAAAACTCACAAAGTGGCTCTGGCGACGTACGAAACATTTTCACAAAGTGGGTCACAATTATTATCTCAATGGGAAAAGACGTCACAGTGTCTTTGCTTACACACCCAAGCATTGGTGCTTTGTGGCAAGAGCACTGCGGTATCTTGAACTGTCCTGATGGTGTACTTGTAATGGCCCAGAGCGGTCCCTAGAGAGGGCGCGGTTTTAAGTTCCTTTGGTGGGAAATGCAATGCACTGGTTCATGACCAACTCTGAAATGCTTGTGCTGCATGCGTGTCATTACCAACAAAATGGACACTCCCTACCAACATGGCTCATGTCAACTGATGAGGGGGTGCTTCTGCTCGAGGCGGATCACATACTGTATCATTTGGCTGATTTTGACTGAAAGGACAGCTTTGTGAAGAATGCATCTTTGCATAAGAGGGTTAAATGATTTCCCACCATTGAGACAGTATTTAGGGTTTAAAGAGCATGTGGGCTCATTGACTGAACAAAAAGTACATGTGCCAGGTACATGTACATGTAGCTTCCATATGTATACATCAAGTAGCTACATGTAAATACATGTATCTCTCTTGTAGTGACATACGTATAATATGTTTGTTTAAGTATTTCTGGCATGGGGTATGCATGAGCCTTGTCACAAATGTAGAGCTTGTTTGCACAGTTGCTGAGTGCATAGCTGTAATGATATTGATCGTTGCCAAACACCTGTTTGTCACCTGTGTATGGAGTGGTCACGGTTATGTCATTGGTTTTTAAAAATAACAGGATTATTGTGCTGCCAAGACGTTGTACATCTCCGACTCAGACAAGAGGAAACATTTCCTTCTCTCAGTCAAGATGTTCTACGGTAGCGGAGAGGATATTGGTGTCTTCAACAGCAAGAGAATCAAAGTCATCTCTAAGCCTTCCAAGAAGAAGCAATCACTCAAGAATGCAGACTGTAAGTGGCCAGAAGGCAGGAAAGATAGCTGCTAGGATGGGTGAATCTTTATTAGAATCGGGGAACTGTTGTAGAGGTTTCATTGCAGCGTTGTAGTTAAGTCCAGTGTAAGTCTCTTCACAAGTCATGCAGGGGGAAGTCCAGTTGTTAACCTTTATACTTATGCTACTTGTGACTGGGGGTATGAAAGGGCTAATGACTGGACTTGTGAGGAACAAGTGTGTGACAGGAGTTATGATGACTTCAACTACAACACTGCTTCCGTGTGCCAGCCTCAATCAAGGAGCAATTGGAAAAGTTGGAGTTTCAAAACATACATGGGAAACTTTCTGAATCAGTAAGTCTGGTACCACTTCAAGCAAAATGCAAGTACATGGTGTTGTGTGAAAGAAAGTCTGGAACTTATTGTTCTGTGCAATCCTTTTACTGACCTGGGAGACAAAGATTTTCTGTTAATTGGGCAACATTTCTATAGAGCAGTGTTCTTATTAAGTCAACTCCGCTACATACATGTAGTATGTGCTATTCCTTTATTGAGCAAGCGAGATTATAATTTGCTGTACCGTCATTTTCATCATTGACCCCTCTATTTTGTGTACTGTTGGCTAGTGTGTATCCATTCAGGGTCAACGGTGGCGCTGTTCAACCGTCTGCGGTCACAGACTGTCAGTACAAGATATCTGCACGTAGAAAACAATAACTTCCACGCCAGCTCACAGCAATGGGGTGCATTCACGATACACCTGTGTAAGTCAACATAGGCCTAGATCAGTGTACTGGTCCCCTAACACAACAAACAGCTACTGCTACTATCCCCCCACCCTTAGGTGTTGACCCCACCCCTTATTAGGTATTTATTCTCTTGAACTGATAAACACAAAATCACATAGCAACACCTAAGTGTAAAAAATCTCTATTGAGACTTACTTGTTTATTTTGGTGTCTGTGTTTTTTTTTTCATTTGTTAAAACTCTTCGAAATTTTATTTGAAAGTGTGTTGGTAATTGATATGTACATTCACAAAGCTCACTAAAAACTCAGTTTAAACTAGTCGAGTCTGCCGTAACTTAGATTCATAAGGGGAACCAACCAGTATTTCTCACACTTGCAAGTCTGGCACTGTGAAGTACTTTCCTCATACTTGTACCTTAGTACTCTTTCTAATGCCAGAGTGCTGGTACTTGATACTTGCAGGAAAGTACCGGTACCCCTTATTTTCATGGTAATGTCTAGCACTTTTACTGGTATTCATGGCAAAGTACAGGAACCATTGAATGTGCACTGGACTATACCAGTAGAATCCAGTGTTGAATAATCAAGTCAACTATATTTTTGTTGCCAGTGGATGATGAAGAATCGGAGAGTGAGGAATTCACAGTACGAGATGGTTACATTCACTATGGCTCCACAGTCAAGCTGGTGGATATAGTGACGGGCATGGCCTTACCAAGATTGGTAAATCCTAAATTTAAATTACCGATAGCTCTTTAATCTCTGAGATCATTCCTTGAATGAGTCAGTTCTGTTGTAATTGGAGTGACTGTCATCCACTTTTTCTCTAAAAACCTCCAAAAGTATCAACCTTCCAAGGAGTTGTCTTATTGAAAAGAGGCTTCTACATGTTGCACAACATGCTTTTATGTTGCTTACATATGGGTGTAGTTTGTGCATGAATCCATTCAAGCCAAAGCTTAACAGTCCAGCCTCTTTTTCAATCATGCCACATTACAATAAAGTAAAGGTTGCACTTATAAAACAAAGATGCTTGTATGTTTATGTGGAGGTTGCTAAGTTTTTATGTATAAAGCCATTTATTTGGCTGGGCATTGCTAGTCCAGCCTTTCTTTCAACCTTTCCATTAGAATGAGAGTGAGGCTGTTGAGTCCGGGCCGGATCTGTAACTTTTTAATATTTTTTTTGTGTGCCAAAGGACACCTCCTGTGCAGGCAAAGAGTGAAAGAGAATAAATACTCCTATTTGTTTAAGACTTGACATTTATTTCTGTTATTGGTTTGACCATTTACATATACTGCCGGTTGCAGGTGAACAGAGTTTTTGAATGGCATTGGTAATATCATTTTTTGTTCTTACAAAGAACAGAACAACTTAATATAAAATTTGACAATGGTTGCAGAGGCTTTCTTCAAGAAATGGTTGGAGTGTTCTCTAACACAAATAAGAACACAGTCAGATGGATTTGAGATTAAACCTGTTGTATAAATATTAAACATTGCCATGATTTCTCACCAACAGTTACACAGAGGTTGTCTTTTTCATTTCTTCCTGTTAGATTATTCGGAAAGTAGACAAGCAGACCTCACTCCTAGATGCAGATGACCCCGTCTCACAACTCCACAAGTGTGCCTTCTACATGAAAGACACAGAACGCATGTATCTCTGCTTGTCACAGGAGAGAATCATCCAGTTCCAGGTAGGTTGATCAGCCAGCTCACTGGATGATTCAAAATAGTTGAAGCTATCTCCAGGCAAGCTCAAGCACCAACCATAGTTGGACCACAGGTCAGTTACCTTTTAATTATGTGCACGTGCAGCACAGTCATAGTTGAGCCACCCTTGTCAAAGTATTTTGCTGCTACCCTCATTTTGCTATTGGCTGCAACTCTTGCGGCACACTCGGTCAATGACATCTCACAGTCTCAATGGTTCCCTCCATGCTGATAAATGAAGCTGGCTACAGATTTCTAACGGTGGAACCATGCCCCAGAAAAGCTGATTGGCCAGTGCAAACCTGGTTACTGGATCAGTCATGAGTTTACAGCAATCTTGAACTTTGGATTGAACATAATTCATATCAGGGAAAGTTGATAAACCAGTGTAAATATATCTACTCGATTAACCACACGTTTTGGCATCTAGAACTAAGAATTGAGGGTCAAGTCTTATCAGAGGACAATAATTAACTAGATTAAACCTGATTACTTGATCATTCATGAGTTTACAGCATTCTTGAATTTTAAGCAAAGAAAGTTGATTAATCAGATTAAATCTGGTCGTAACAAAATTTTCCTTAAAATATTTGTACTGACAGGCCACCCCTTGCCCAAAAGAGACTGACAAAGAGATCATCAATGATGGGGCATCCTGGACAATTATCAGCACTGACAAAGCTGAATACAGCTTCTATGAGGGCATGGGGCCAGTCAAGGCACCGGTGACGCCGGTACCCGTTGTGATTGACCTGCTGCTGAATGGGGGTGGGGATGTGGCCATGCTAGAGCTGACGGGAGAGAACTTCACCCCAAACCTCAAGGTGTGGTTTGGGGACGTAGAGGCAGAGACCATGTACAGGTAGGCGTCATATTCAAATAAACCCTAGCAACATGTGCAGTGCATCATGGGATTGGATGACAAAGAAGCAATGTAGTTTATAGTCAGTATCAGACGAATGAGCTTCAATGCCTAATGGGGGTATATCTAATTAAAGTTTTAGCTTATTAATATTCACCTTGTCCACGGCAAACTGGTCTTTATGAAAGCCATTCCCCAAACTGGTTTTGAGATAAAGCTTGAATTTTGATTTTTTAAAAATAACTTCTTTCCAAATCACTAGTGTAACACTGAAATGATGATGGTGTCATTGCAAGCATTTAACTGATTGACTGGTTCACTTCTGGTGGTTTGTTCATGAATTGCATTGCTTGTCATCCCAATCCCAGAGTTTTGATGTGATGAATGTTGACATCGGTGTTGGTTGTTTTTGATACTGATGTTTTGAGGAAAAGACAGTGAACACTTAACCATTTTATGTTAGAAGTAGTCATTAAATAACGGTTTGTAACACTGCCATTAGAAGGCCATCCTTCATCAGTGTTGAATCGTAGACCTGTCACCTAATCATTTGTACTACACACTTAAGAATCCCTGATCATTTCTTGTGTGTATTTTCTTGCCAAGGTGTGCTGAGTACATGCTTTGTGTTGTTCCTGATATCTCGGCATTCCGTGGTGAGTGGCGATGGGTCCGCAGACCCACGCAGGTGCCTGTCACGTTAGTCCGAAATGACGGCATCATCTACCCCACGGGACTCACCTTCACCTACACACCAGAGCCTGGCCCACGACCGCCCATAAATGGTGCCACTGAAGGAATCCTCCATTAAGCCTACAGGGGTGTTTGGATTTGTTTGGGTACAACACATCAGGAAAGTGACTGAAAGTGTGAGCAAAAGGTGACTGTAATGCTTCTTTTGTCCCACACTTAATGGTTCATTGTTGCCCCGGACGCACAAATTTTCCCGTTTACGATGGATCTTTGCAGATTTAAGTGCCCACATGGCTCCATTTTGTGACAGGAGTTATCGTAAGAAAGTACCTCTATCAAAGTGGAGCTTCATACATTTGAATTGTATGAATGCACAATTTGCCAACATTAGAGTGGGCGGTACATTTGTGGAAGACAGGAACAAAGATGTGCCAGCTGTTGGTAATGTATTACCGACTTTGGCAGCGAGGAATTATGGCTTCTTAAATAGTTTGTAGCTTCCATCAGTTACCAAGTTCAGATGCCAAGGGTATGGTGTCATTCAGGGAGTCCACTGATGCTGAAAAGTAAGGTCAGAGAATGAGCCACTTCAAGGGAGAAGACTCCATACTGCCCCCTCACAAAGGTACGGCAGACATGCTTTGTCATGGAGATGGATAAGACGATCATGCAAGCTACAACTGGACCAAGTGTTGGACCATCATGGGAGGATTCCATTGACTTCGGAAGAACACCAAGCTCAGCTTGAAGATCATCTTTTCCAGTGAGCCTCACCTTTTAAAGGTGCAGGCACACAAAACATCCCATCAATTATTTCTCCTCTTGGAATATTGCCAGACTTGAGGATGCAGTGTTGAGAAGAATCTTGGGAAGAGGATTGTATAGCTAGGAAATTGAGAGTCAATGTACGACAGAAAAAAAAAAGTGTGCCAAATTTTCTGGTGTTAAGAAGGCCAATTAATCATGTACAAAAGTGAATGTAGTTGTTGAAATGAAGGGTCAGGGGTCATTGGCAAGTAACAGCAAGTATGTTATTGTGCGAAATGATTTTATAAAAACAATCACTTTTTTAATATGAATCAGCATAAGGTATTCATAACTGACTGGCACTTGTCAGCCATCTTCGTCTAGTTCTCTGTGTCATTAGGGTCATGTAAAATACCTAACTGTATGCAGAGCCGGACCACCTCTGGTGTCTGTCATGTGGACAGGTCCAATTTGGGATTAACGCCAGTTAAAGTAGACATATACATAAATAGATTACAGTGTTGGCATAACTTGATAACTATATTACTGACTGGTTCCCATGTTACTGATGTACATACATAACCTTGAATTTTTTAATACAGGGAACCAGACTGATGCCCTTTTTCAATATTTCTAGATTGTCTGTGTTTCTCGTTAAAGTCAAAGACATCTTTCCTTTTTAAGCCGTGGTTTTTTATTTTGTAATATATGTTTTGGTTGTGCCATGGCAATCCATAAAACTACATATTAATCTGTTGAAGCCATCAAAATGTATGGAGTGCAGATGAGTCAACACTAAGCAGTAGTCAGGTTTTACAAAGAGATACAATGGGGCTGTTTTATGCCTCACTCTTTGATACAATTACCATGCACTGGCACCAGAATTTAACAAAGAAGCATTTGCTCCAGAGCAAATAATACCAGGAATGCATAAAATGAAGCCAAATAACCTTCGTTTATGGGGAAACAACGCATTTCCTTTAAGTTTAAAATCAGAAAAGTCACATCTGTTGACCTCCTATACCTTATTTATACTGCTAAGGCCTAGTAACAACAAGAAATGATTTATCAGTTTGAACCATAGAAAGGCAAAGAGACATGTATATGCTATTTTTAAGTTTTGTTCTTTTTGTGCTTTTTTTCTAGTGTAAACATTGCTGATGAGGCACACCATACCCAAGGGTTTGCAGTCTTATATTGCTTTCTTATAAGTAGCCAGCTTTTCCTCAGTGGGTTGCATTTATCTCATTTGACTTTGGATACTGTTATCCAAGAATTTGGATTACTCCTGCCGAAATAAAAATAACAAGACCGTCGTGTGTTAAAATTCCATTTGAGGTCCAACTCAGCTACATACAGATTTGATCTGCAAACAAATCAACGAAAAAAAGAAAGGATGACATTTATTTACAGGAGCAGAGAGTATACATATTGTGGTTGTTCTTACTCGATTTGAGTCACATCTAGACTTCATCAGTCCTTCCTGTAGTCTCAATCAAGCCTTGAACATGTTTAACTCGATTTAAGAAAGAAATATACAAATTATATATATTTTTCTATTGTAAGTCTGCAGAATTGTCACATGTATGTAAATCACGCAGCAATCTGTTTTTATAAAACTAGTTTTTTGGTCATAAACCTAGGTTGGTCGTCAGTTAGTTGTATGCATTTATGGCCCACCTTCAATTTAAAACTGGTGCCTTGAATTTATAGCTTTGTAAAATATGCATCCGGCTTTTTGCTTCGACTTACGTCACTCCCGCCCCGTACCCCTTCCCGATGCAATTACTCCAGCTCAGCCCTTGAAGTCTTTATACATTTTTGCCTTAGCAAGGGCTGAAATCAGATGCAGGGTTACAGAATGGGGGAAAAGGGAAAAACCCTGACCCTCCCCCCTTTACATTGGCCACTGTTTTAGAAGCTGTTTGCTTTGTTGTGTCAGTTGCACGTGAAATGGTTTCGATTGTTTATTTTCGGCCTTGGTTTAAGGGAAGTGTGAACAACTATGTTGGTAAATTGACAACAGGAAGCAAAAACGACTTGAGAAAGTGTACCATGTCGAGTTGTAGAAACTTTTTACTATGCGCACATTTTTGGAGGCCACGCGTAGAGCTTTTCTTCCCCAAAGCAGGAAATGAACTCTTTCTGTAGGCATGCGGACAATCATGTGCACGATTCGTATGGCTTTTCATGATATCTCTTCAGCTGTCAGGCAGAAACCAAAACGACATTGTCACTTCCTTGTTACATGTTCACCAGCTGACTCCACTGCCAGGGTTCATAATATCAGTACGGTTTGCAAATAAACATTGAGAAGCAGCACAGAGCCACCATTTCTTTTTTCAGGCACGCACTCTTTTATGCAGAATCGGAACATCTTGAAACGGTGTATGCTGAGTTTGGGATATTGCGATGATTGTAAAAATGTTTGATATATTGGTCTTTTGGAGGTGTGTTTTACTTTGTATGGATGATTCAGTTGAATACGTGAAATTCAGCATGCCAAGTTGTGTTACCTGCAGTTATATTCCAGTTACAAAATAAGACATTAAAACGAAAACTGTGTGAGTTTACGCATTTTTTAACCGAGTATGGGAAATTCCCATTTTTACCTTTGACACCAACTCCAGAGTCGAATTCGTGAATCACAAGTGCTGCAACTTAAAAGAGGATTAACAGTAATAAAAAAAAGGGAATGTCTCTCTAATAGCGCATTTCAGCTGCTTGTAACTTAAGGTTGTTACTTGTCGTTGACCTGTGATCGTCATGTTAGGAATTCTTCACTAATCCTCTCTTTTGACATTTTAAAGGGAGTCTTCTTATCCTTAATCCATTCAAAACGGACATGTTGCACTAAGCTAATGAGAGATACATGTAACCATACTGGGACATCATCAACCCTCATA